CAGGAATTGGTACATTCTGGTGGTCGCTTCATTATAGCATGGGGCCTCTGCCGAAAAGTGAGCTAGAACGCAGAGCACATCCACAAACTGATTACATCAGGTAAGTTCTCCTAGGTAAACACATTTGACCTGATTTATCGAATAGATGCCCATAGCATTTGCATTCCTTCATAATTTTGCTCGTTTTCGGTCGCCCACCATGGCTGGTGGTTTGTTTGCTGCAAATCGAGACTACTTCTTCGAGGTGGGAGGTTATGATGAAGAAATGGATGTTTGGGGTGGAGAAAATTTGGAGATATCGTTTAGGGTATGTTTGAAGTCTGTTGTTTCACTGATTTTCTCTTTTTTTGGAGCAAAAATGATTTTTGAAGAACTTGTTATGTATGAGTATTGGATCATTCAGTTCAGGTGTGGATGTGTGGAGGATCAATCGAGTTAATGCCATGTTCACATGTTGGCCACATTTACCGTTCGGGGCATCCGTACGATATGACGGGTGAGTCGCATCATACTGGGAAGACGGCGATGTTCATGTCTGTAAAATCTAACAAAAAAAGAGATGAGAATGTCAGGCCGCAATAATAACAAGGACGTCCATGGAACGAATTCTAAGCGATTAGCAGAAGTATGGATGGATGACTACAAGAGGCTATTTTATGTCCATCGAATGGGTTTGAAAGTGATTTTATTGCTAGTAGTTGGGGTTTAATCCAATCCTGATCTTCATCTTGACGAGAACTGGTCCCCAAAAATATTGACTTCTAGGATGTAGATGTCGGAGACCTGACGGAGCGAAAAAAGCTTCGCGAACGTCTACAATGCAAATCGTTCAAGTGGTTCTTAGACAACGTGATTCCACAAAAGTTTATACCAGATGAAAACGTTTATGCTTATGGCCATGTGAAAGGCGAACGCGGCCTTTGTTTGGATACGCTTCAAAGGCTGGAAAACAAGGTAAAGGAGAGGGTTGAGTAAGTTCCACGCGCACTCTATTTGCACAAATATTAAAATCCAAAAAGAGGGATTGCTTCTGCAAAATAGCGTATAGTGCAATTTGTAGTCAATTTTGGTTTACCTTTAATATGTTTCTGTGTGCTGTGCGTCTACATCATAGCAGCAAAAGCTCTATCAGCATGCTGATACAAGGCTTAATTGCATCAAGATTTAGAACTATATTCTAGGGCACCGTACTTCTAGGAGTGTTCACATGTCAGCTAGGTGGCAGCTCAGCACAGGTGAGCTTGAACCTTCACGTACCATAAATAGCAAAAAGGTTTTGTATGTCATGAAAATTCTAGGTTCGGAATGTAGAGCATATATCTTAGGTTCCCTGAAGAGTGTAACATCATCATTCTTAACTTTAACTGCAAATTACACGGCTTTATAACTAAGTTTTTCAGAATTTCACATATCAATCTTCCTTGTCCTACTGCC